AAGTTAACAGAGAAATGACAACACTAAATATGAACCTCTGTGGACAACCTCTCAGTTCAGAGCTGCTGTTTTGAGGAGAAACCCAAGAGAATACATCAAAATATGGTATAATGTGCTGAAAATACTGCTGAGCTTTTTCATGCCCTATATGAAATGCAAATATCAATTTTTATTCCTTGTTTTCCTCTTTTCAAAATAATACGAATGAATCTTAAAGCATAATAATACTATAAAGTATTTATAAAATGATATTGATATAATTATTATTTGATGATGTAAAGGATTAATTATTGAAGCATTAAAATTAGCTCTTATTTTCAAGAGCTCTTGTTTCAATACTTTTACTGAGAGAGATCCAAGATGGCCAACTAGCAGCAGCTTGGGATTGTAGCTCCCAGTGAAAGTGTAGAGAGTGAGTGGACGCCACACTTCCAGACAAATTTTTGTTGCCCACAGACCAAGGGATTCCCAGCAGAGGAGCCCCATGAGTTGCCAGCGTGACTCTTTTGGCTGGCACAGCTGTTTTGCTGGCCCCCAGGTGTGGTGGTTCTCAGTGCGGAGTATACGGGACTGGGGGCCCTTTTGGTTGGTGTTTGGAGCTCCAGGAAGGCAGAGTAGCCCATTCAGGTGATTGAAAAGGGGACTGAAGCAGGGAGCCAGACTGAGAGATTGCCGGGCAGAGAAGCACCACGAATCTCAATGACACTGTTTCAGCCAGCCCAGTGGGTCACCACAGGGGAAATTCCTCCACAAAAAAAGCAGCAATTGGAAGCTCTGAGGATTGAGAGTTTCACAGCAAGCACAGCTGAACCTGGGAAGGTCCAGCTCTGTGGGCAAGGGGTGTCCCCCAAAGGAAAACTAAGAAACAGAGAAAACATCATCACCAACAAGCTGGACATCCACTCAGAGGCCCAATCTGGAAGCCAGCAATTACAAAGACGACAGGTGGATAAATCCACAAAGATGGGGAAAAAAACAGTGCAAAAAGGCTGAAAACACCTGAAATCAGAATGTCTCTCCTCCTGCAGGGGATCCAGCTCCTCATCAGCAATGGAACAAGGCCTGATGGAGAGTAAGTGTGATGAATTGACAGAATCAGGCTACATAAGGTGGATAATAAGAAACTTCTGTGAGCTAAAAGAATATGTTCTAACCTAATGCATTTATTTCTTGGATAATTTTATCTAAATTATTAAATTCATGCACACAAATCTGTCCATATGTTTCCCTCGTTATTTTTGTTGTTGTTGTTTTTTTAAAAATTTTTTTAGTGTACTTTAGGTTCTGGGGTACATGTGCAGATAATGCAGGATTGTTGCAAATGTACATACATGGCAAGGTGGCTTGCTGCCTTCATCCCCCCATCACCTATATCTGGTATTTTCCCCCTCTTTATCCCTCCCCACCCTCCCCAACTATACTACTCTGGAAGAGCAACCCCAAGGCACATAATCGTCAGGTTCACCAGGGTTGAAATGAAGGAAAAAACACTAATGGCAGCCAGAGAGAAAGGTCAGGTCGTCCAAACTGGGAAGCGCATTGGACTCACAGTGGATCTCTTGGCAGAAACCCTACAAGCCAGAAGAGAGTGGGGAGCCAATATTTAACATCCTTAAGGAAAAGAACTTCCAACCTAGAATTTCATATCCGGCCAAACTAAGCTTCATAAGTGAAGGAGAAATGAAATTCTTTATGGACAAGCAATTGTTGAGAGATTTTGTCACTACCAGACCTGCCCTGCAAGAGCTCCTGAAGGAAGCACTAAACACAGAAAGGAAAAACCAGTACCAGCCACTGCAAAAAAGAACCAAATGGTAAAGACCAACAATGCAATGAAGAAATTGCTCCAACCAAAGGGCAAAACAACCAACCAGTAATAAAATGGCAGGATCAAATTCGTACATAATATTAACATTAAATGTAAATGGACTAAATGCCCCAATCAAAAGACACAGACTAGCAAATTGGATAAAAAGCCAAGAACATTGGTGTGCTGTATTTAGGAGACCCAGCTCATGTGCGAAGACACACATAGACTCAAAATAAAGGGATGGATGATGATTAACCAAGCAAATGGAGAGCACAAAAAAGCAGGGGTTGCAATCCTAGTCTCTAATAAAATGGACTTTAAACCAACAAAAATCAAAAGAGACAAAGAAGGGCATTACATAATGGTAAAAGGATTAATACAACAAGAAGAGTTAACGATCCTAAATATATACACACCCATACAGGAGCATCTAGATACATAATGCAAGTCCTTAATGATCTACAAAGAGACTTAGACTCCCACAGAATAATAGTGGGAGACTTTAACACTCCACTGTCAATATTAGACAGATCAATGAGACAGAAAATCAACAAGGAAATCCAGGACTTGAATGCAGATCTGGACCAAATGAATTTAATAGATATTTACAGAACTCTTAACCCCAAATCCACAGAATATACATTCTTCTCAGCACCATATCACACTTACTCTAAAATTGACCACATAATTGGAAGTGAATCACTCCTCAGAAAATGCAAAAGAACAGAAATCATAACAAACAGTCTCAGACCACAGTGTAATCAAATTAGAACTCAGGATTAAGAAACTAACTCAAAACAGCACAACTTCATGGAAAATGAATAAGTGGCTCCTGAATGTAGACTGGATAAATAATGAAATGAAGGCAGAAATAAAGATGTTCTTTGAAACCAACAAGAATGAAGACACAGCATACCAGAATCTCTGGGACATATTTAAAGCAGTGTCTACAGGGAAATTCATAGCAATAAATGCCCACATAAGGAGCAAGGGTTTTTTCCTAAGAAATTTGGTTTGATGGAGATAGCATTAAATCTATAAATTACTTCCCCATCAAGCTATCATTGACCTTCTTCACAGAACTGGAAAAAACCACCTTAAACTTCATATGGAACCGAAACAGAGCCTGCATACCCAAGACAATCCTAAGCAAAAAGAACAAAGCTGGAGGTGTCATGCTACCTGACTGCAAACTATACTACAAGTATAGTAATCAAACAGCATGGTACTGTTACCAAAAAGAGATATAAACCAATGGAACAGAACAGAGGCCTCGGAAGTAATGCCACACATCTACAACCAACTGATCTTTGACAAACGTGACAACAACAAGCAATGGGGAAAGGATTCCCTGTTTAATAAATGGTGTCAGGAAAACAGGCTAGCCACATGCAGAAAGCTGAAACTGGACCCCGTCCTTACTCCTTATACAAATTTAACTCCAGATGGATTAAAGATTTAAACATAAGACCTAACACCATAAAAACCCTAGAAAAAAACCTAGGTAATATCATTCAGGACATAGGTATAGGCAAGGACTTCATGACTAAAACACCAAAAGCAATGGCAACAAAAGCCAAAATTGATAAATGGAATCTAATTAAACTTCAGATCTTCTGCACAGCGAAAGAAACAATCATTAGAGTGAACTGCCAACCAACAGAATGGGAAAAATTTTTGCAAACTAATATTCAGAATTTACAAAGAACTAAAACGAATTTACAAGAAAAAAGCAAACAACCCCATCAAAAAGTGGTCAAAGGATATGAATAGACACTTTTTAAAAGAAGACATTCATGTGGCCAACAAACATATAAAAAAATGCTCATCATCACTGGTCATTAGAGAAATGCAAATCAAAACCACATTGAGATACCACCTCACACCAGTTAGAATGGTGATCATTAAAAAATCTAGAGTCAACAGATGCTGGAGAGGATGTGGAGAAATAGGAATGCTTTTACACTATTGGTGGGAGTGTATATTAGTTCAATAATTGTGGAAGTGTGGCAGTTCCTCAAGGATATAGAAATAGAAATACCATTTGACCCAGCAATCCCATTACTGGGTATATACCCCAAGGATTATAAATCATTCTATTATAAAGATACATGCACATGCATGTTCATTGTGGCACTGTTAACAATAGCAAAGACCTGGAATCAAGTTAAGTGCCCATCAACGATGGACTGAACAGAGAAAATGTGGCACATATACACCACGGAATACTATGCAGCCATAAAAAAGGATGAGGTCATGTCCTTTGCAGGGACATGGGTGAATCTGGAAACCATCATTCTCAGCAAACTGACACAAGAACAGAAAACCAAACACTGCATATTCTCACTCATAAGCAAGTGTTGAACAATGAGAACACATGGACACAGGGAGGGGAACATCACACACTGAGGTTTGTTGGGGGTTGGGGGCTAGGGGAGGAATAGCAGGGGGTGGGGAGATTGGGGAGGGATAACATCTGGATAAATACCTAATGTCGGTGACGGGAGTATGGAGGCAGCAAACCACCATGACATGTGTATACCTATGTAACAATCCTGCAAGATCTTCACATGTACCCCAGAAAATAAACTATAATTAATATATATATATAATAGTAAAATTAAAAAAATTTTTGGTTTAAGTTTCCAATTATTTTTGTATTCTCTCTTATACTTTGTTTATTAACCTCTAGTTTTATTGTATTATCATACAAGAAAATGAGTGGCAAAATTTATATTTAAAAACATAATAACTTTAATCTAACATACTATATTTTGGTTAGCTTCCTCTCTTTGTTTCTTTTCCTTAAAAATATATTTTTAATTAATTTTTTTTCCGAGAGGGTTTTGCGCTTCTATAATCTCTTACCTAAACAAGTTTCATACAGTCCACCACATTCATATCTCCTATCTACTGTGATTGAATTTTTATATGTATACCATGACATAGGGTCAAGACTGATTTTTTTTGTTCTGAATACTCAGATACCTTAAAATAATTTCTTGAAGAAGGCAACCTTTGCTTTCCTGCTCTGCAGTGACATCTTTGTCATATAAATAAAGATCGATCTATTTCTTTTGTTTTTGTTTTTTTAAAAAATTTTTTATTTTTTATTGCATTTTAGGTTTGGGGGTACATGTGCAGAACATGTAAGATAGTTGCATAAGATCAATCTATTTCTTTACCCTGCATTGAGTTCCGTTTTTCTTCTTGTCTACCTTCACAAATACGACACCCTCTGAGTTACTATAGCTTTGTAATAAGTTTTGATAACTAGTGTTGTCAATCTATCAGTTAAGTTTTATTTCTTCAAGATAATCTGACCATTTTGGGACTCACTGAGTACACACTTTAGGATCCACATACTACAGCTGCAAAATCAAATGCTGGGGATTTTACTTGGAATAGTACTGAATTTATAGATCAATTTGAATAGAATCAGCATTTTAAAAATATGAGTCTCCCTGTGCACTTTATAATCCAAGATTTGTTCAGTAAATTATATATCCATCTGAAAATATTTTATTTCTATTATTGTGGTCTTATACATGCTACTTAATGTTAAATTCAGCTCTGGGTTTCTCATCCTCAGTACTATTGACATTTTGGCCATGATATGCTTTGTTGTGAGGCTCCCTCCTGTACACTGTGTGATGTTTAACACCCCTGACGTCTAGCCACTAGATGCCAGCACCTGAGACAAGTAACAATATTTCCAAACATTGTCAAGTGAACCAGGAGACAAAATTGCTCCAAGTGATTTAGATATTTAAGAGATTTAATTTTTTATATTGAATCTTCACAAACATAAAAAAATGGGTGCATGTGATAAGTGTATAAACTATTACATATATGTAGCTGTAGATCATACATTATCATTGCTGGATAGTAATCTATTCTGTGTATATACAATTTCTATTTTATTCATTGATAATATTTTAAATATTAATAGCTTGCTATTTTGCCCAATAAAAAAAGTGTTTCTAAAAATATTTTCAGATACATATAAGTAAATAGATACATATACATACATAAATATATGAAAACTTGTACATTATATATGCTAAATGTGACATGCTTCCTTTTGTATACACATTTAGTTTGTATATACACATGCAAATATACAGATACATTAAAACCAAAAAGAAATTTGAACAGCTACTGCCACAATTAGAAAAATGACCTCAAATATTTGTTGCTATTTTTGAACAATGTCTCCGGATAGTAAAGTCTTAAGTTTGTGTGCAGAAGAAATCAAACAAAACACAAAAGCCTTTTATCAAGTTATAAACACCAATGATGCAACTATCTTTCCCTGAGATTCAGCTAAAATTATTTTGAAAAAAATATGAACCTATTGATGAAAAATAAATCAATAAATCAGAATATAAGCACATTTCTCATAAATAATAGTCTAGATGTTGTTTTAAAACTGTCTTAGAAAATTTGGGAAATAATTATAACTGTGCAGTGTTTTGGAATAGTGTTTAACACTGAGAATTATACGTATAATCAATTTCACATGAATAACTAAATTATATCACTGTTTTTTTTTTAAACTAGTGTACCTACTTCCTAGTATTTATTCTTTCTGAGAAAGAGCTGCTACTTTGTCTCTCAGTTTCAACAAGGCTTTCTTCACCTCCTTGTTTCTCAAGGTGTACACAACAGGGTTGAGAAGTGGTGTCAGCACAGTGTAGAAAATGGCCACAACCCCATCCACAGTGTTCCTGGAGCCTGGCCTCAGGTAAACGAAAACACAGGGAATAAAGAAGCAAAGGACCACAGTACAGTGGGAGGCACAGGTCTGAAAGGCTCTGCGCCTCCCCTCTGAGGTGCGGATCTGCAGGACTGAACAGACGATGGACACATAGGACAGCACTATCAGGAGGAAGCAGCCGGAGGCCACTACCCCAATGTCCACAAAGATGACCATCTCATTGGTTGAGGTGTCTGCACAGGCCAGTTTCAGGATGGGCGGTGCATCACAGAAGTAGTGCTGGATCTGGCTGGGTCCACAGTAGGGTAAATGGAAAGTCAATGTGGTCTCAACAGCAGAGTGCAGAGAGCCACTGAGCCGAGTGCCAATGGCCAGGAGGGCACACGTGCTCCCACTCATCATGCTGGTGTACCTGAGCGGGTAACTGATGGCCAGGTAGCGATCATAGGACATGACTGTGTAGAGGAAACACTCGGTGCTCCCCAGGAAGTGAAAGAAGTAGAGCTGAGCCACGCAGCTGTGGAAGGAGATAGCCCTGCCACTTGGGGACACCAAGGTCATCAGCATTTTGGGCACCGTGACAGTAGAGAACCACATGTCAATGAAGGACAGGTTGGAGAGGAAGTAGTACATGGGGGTGTGGAGTTGAGAATCCACCCTGATCACCAGCAGGATGAGGAGGTTCCCCAGCACAGTGAGCACATAAACAACCAGGAAGATTCCAAAGAGGGGAGCGTCCAGCGCTGGGGTAAGGGGAAGGCCTGTCAGGAAGAACACTGTCACAAGGCTAGTGTTCGACATTTCTTCTCACCCTTTGTTTTTCTCCCTCTGAGGATATAAAAAGCATACAGCGTTTAGCAATTAATTGATAGCTGAGAATCTATTCTCTATGTGAAAACCAGGTAGATAATTCTGGAGGTATCCTCGACTTTGCTTGTTATAAAGCTTACTTCATAAAGCTCATGAAGTGATTCCCTAGTGTCTGTCTCTCTCTCTCTCTCTCTGTCTCTCTCTCACACACACACGCATGCACACATACACACACACAGAGAGAGAGATACACATGCAGAAGAAATTAGGAGAAACACATTGTCTTAGATTTCAGTGAGTGTATAAATTACTGCAAACATACTGTCATAAAACATGTAGATTTATTGTCTCACCCTCTCTGTGGATCAGGTCAGCTGGGTCCTCTGCTCCGGGACTCACCAGGTTTTAATCAACATATCACCAGGGGCTGCAATCCTGCAATCTCATCTGAGGCTGGGGATCATCTTCCAAGCTTACAGGGGTTGTGGGCATGATTCAGTTCCTTCTAGTTTTAGGACTGAGATACTAGTTTTTTTCCTGTTTGTTGGCAGGATGTATCATTCTTAGCTTATAGAGGTCACCCTAGGTCCTAGAAAGTCCTATCCACTTGGCTTTCTTAAAACATGACACGACTAGGTGTCGTGGCTCACACCCGTAATCCCAGCACTTTAGGAGGCCAAGGTGAGTGGATCATGAGGTCAAGAGATTGAGACCATCCTGGCCAATGTGGTGAAACTCTGTCTCCACTAAAAATAGAAAAATTAGCTAGGCCTCGTGGCACACACCTGTAGTGCCAGCTACTTAGGAGACTGAGGCAGGAAATTCGCTTGAATCCGGGAGGCAGAGTTGCAGTGAGCCGAGATCACGCCATTGCACTCCAGTCTGGCGACAGAGCGAGACTTTGCCTCAAAACAAACAAACAAACAAAAAACATGACAGGTTACTTCTTTGAAACCAATGAGATAAACTCTCTCCAGTTGGCTATGACAAAGTGTCATATAATGTTATGGAATGCAGTCAAGGGGGTGATATCCCATCATCTTAACAGGTTCCAGGCATACTCAAAGAAGGATATTAAATAGAAAGTATATAGCCGCGGGCAGGAATCTTGAAGGCTACTCAAAATTCCACCTACCACATTCTATTTTTGCTGCCTTGTTTGTTAAACAAACAAACAAACAAACAAACAAAAAACAAGAACTTAACTATCAGTAGCAAGAATATTTGAAAACTGAACCATACAAGTAAATCATTCTCTAGTTTCTCTTAAACTATTTGGCATTACTAATATCACCTACCTCACTGAGAAATTATAAGCATTAAATAAGACAATACATTTAAAGCACTAAGTACTGTGACTGGCAGGTCATAACTGCCTAATAAATGACAGTGACTCTTACCACGTTTGTGCCTTGCAGCATTATTACAGAATTGCCATTTTTGATCTTAGGTAGAAAGAGAGTACATATATTCTCTTAATGTTTTCAGAGAGTCCTTCTGAATCTAAGAGCTAGCTCTTTGCGTACTTTGTCATGCCTTTTACTGTTACTGATGTCCCCCTACTGCCTGCTTTTAAAGGGCTTCTCTCAGGTCTTGCAGAGCAGGTAAGAATCTCAGCATAACTCTATAGTGGGATACCCAGACCCTCCCAAATGATCCAGAGAGCACCAGTCTTCATACATCACTGCTTCCTTCCCCCATTTCTGTTACCCTAGAACACTTCCTATGTGGTTCTGAGAACATGGCATTCATATGTAGTCTCCCAAACACAATCTGCTGGGTAGGGGTCAGCTGTCTCTCTCACTCCTTCTACCCTAGGTTTCTAAATATATTCTAATATTAACTTTGTTAGATATCATGTGTTGCCTCCATCATCTTCCTCTACTCCTCATTCTCATAAGCCCAGGTCATGAATATCTCACAAAAGAAGATAATTCCATCAAGTCTGTGTTTCTTATTTAAGACCTAGAACCTAAGAGAGAAAAAATAGGACCAATGCGAGAAGAGAGGCCTCTGTCACCTTGATGTCAAGAGAAGCTGGAATTAAGTGTAATGGAAATTGAGTCAGAAGCAAGATTTTTTACTTAATACAAAATATTGACTTAGTTCAGGATTCTTAACTAATTGTTCAGTGGGATGATACTATGAAACTTGTTAATTAATATGAGAGAAACCATAGAGTCTACTCTTCTCAAAGCCCAGATAAGATACCCAGGGAATGTGGCTTAAGCTATATTAAAGTAAGGTTTGTTAAATAAGTAAATAAATAGCAGAAAGGAGGCTACTGTATCACCAACATGCATATCAGAATTTTTAAAATGGAACCAGTATAACTCTGAAATTTCTACTGTACCAGCAGGACCAATCCCCAGCAGAACCTTGTGATCAGTTCTGATGGAATTTGAAAATGTTTATCCAGTGAAGTCTAAGGTAATCTGAGATCTAAAGCAAGCATCTGAATCTGCAGGGTGAATGTTTGGCTTAAATATTAGTATTTAGTAGTATACGTAGCAACTTTGTCTCTATCTATCTAATTGATTTTATAACAGTCTTAACAATTCTTGAATTGTCTGAATGGAAGTTTGAGGTAAAGAAAAGAAGGAAAGCAGGAGAAAATAAGTTAAATCTGCATTTCTAAGAACTCACCTTACAGTATGTGATTCATTTCAATAGTAAAACTCATCTAAGTTTTGCCACAACTTTTCACCTTCCACATGCTGTGTACAGGTGCTAAGTTTGCAAGTTACCACTCAAAGAACAGATACATGGTGTTAGGAAAGAGTGGTCCCTTTCTATTCAAGGACCAAATTAGCAGAGAATGGAAATGAACATGGGTAGGAACTTAACTTGATTTGTATCTCAGAAGATGGGACTGCTTTTGGGATTTTGGGTTCCCTCGATGAGCACAAAACAACTGGAAGAGACCAGTCAAAGGTTCTTCAGAAGCATGCACGCATTTCCTTGGTGTTCTTATTTGAACCCTCTGAGAAGAGCCCATGTCTGCCTAGAACCAATATTTAGACCTAAGAAGAAAGAATGAGGACAGACTTACCCTTTTGCCTCACCAGTAATTGAGAGACACTCACAACTTTTTGCTGTCAACTCAAAATTTTCCATGATTCATAAGCGTCCTGGAAAATTTGCTGACCCTCTCCAGCTTGGCCTCACCCTCTCATTCACCATCTTTGTATGGTGGTTCAAAAGATCCAAACCCCCAACCTTTTGTGTCGTTTACAGTTTCAGGTTGGCTTTTCCCCAGAGATCTATCTACCTAACCTAATTATATCCCAGTTGTATAAGTAATCATTAGTTATTATTGCTGTCATAATTTTCAAGCCTAAATACCTTTGAAATTTCATGTGTACATCTCCTTTCGAAGACTAACTTTTAGAATCTTTATTCATTGCTTTCTTTTATGCTAAGAGTCTTTATCTTATTGATTTATCTGAAGTTTTACAAACTGAAAACATTAATTTGGTTTTCATTGTAAGGTAAAATGTACTTTCAAATTTATCAACATTTAAATATATTTAAATTTGTGTAGATATGTTTATTGTTCTAGAAAATTTTATAAATTGATTCTACTATGTTTTCTGAAGTTGGTATTTTGCTTCAAAAGGATTTTCTTGGCCAAGCTTGGTGGCTCACGCCTGTAATCCCAGCACTTTGGGAGGCCAATGCGGGCGGATCACTTGAGCCCAGGAGTTGGAGACCACCCTGGGCAACATGGTGAAAACCCATCACTACAAAAAATACAAAACTTAGCTGGGCATGGTGGTAAGTGCCCTGTGTAGATTCAACTACTCAGAAGGCTGAAGTGGGAGTATCACCTGAGCCGAAGGTCAGGCCTAGAAGGTTGCAGTGAACTGAGATGGTGCTTCAGTGCTCCAGCTTGAGCAACAGAGCCAGACCCTGTTTCAAAAAAAAAAAAAATGTCTTGCACACAAGTTTATCAGTTTTCACTTAGGTAATTTTAATGCTTTAAGGTTTTTTCCTTCATTTAAATGTTTACTTCATCTGAAATTAATTTTACTTTATGTGAGACAATAGGATGTTTTCATTTTCTATATAATTTGAGATTATAGCTGTAATTACCTCATTAACTAAAGTGGGCTTTTTTTAGCAAATTTGGTTTAAGCTCCCAATTTTTTGTATTCTCTCTTATACTTTGCTTATTAGCCTCTAGTTTTATTAGATTATTATCAGAGAAAATGTGTGTCAAAATTTCTATTTCAAAATGTGATGACTTTAGTTTCATGTATTATTTTTATGGTTAGCTTTCTCTGTTTATTTTCTTTAAAAATATATTTTTAAAAAATCAATATTTTTCCAAGAGGGTTTTGCGCTCCTGTAAAGCGTCTTACCTAAATAAGGGTCATACAGTCCACCACATTCATACCTCCTATCTACTATAATTGAGTGTTTTATGGCTATAGTATGACATAGGCTCAAGACTGAGTTTTTTTATTCTGAATGCCCCAGATACCCCAAAATAATTTCTTGAAGAAGGCAATCTTACTTTACTACTCTGCAGTGTCTTCTTTGTCTTATGAATATGAATCAGTCTATTTTTTTACCCTGTATTCAGTTCTATTTTTCTATTTGTCTCGCCTCATACAAACACGACACTCTTTGAGTGACTATAGCTTTGTAATAAGTTTTGGTAACTAGTGTTGTCGATTTTTCAGTTGTCTTTTATTTCTTCAAGAGTGTCTTAACCATTTTGGGACTCATTCCATTTCAATCCACACTGTAGGATCTACATGTCCATAGTGGCAAAATCAAATGCTGGGATATTACTTGGAATAGTGTCGAATCTATAGATCAGTTAATAGAATTGGCATTTTTCATATATGAATCTCCATGTGCACTTTATATTGCAAGATTTGTTCAGCAAGTTTTATGTTCTTCTGAAAATATTTTATTTCTATTGTTATGGTCTTACACATGTTACTTCAAATTAAATTTAGTTCAGGCTTTCTCATCCTCAGCACTATCGATATTTTGGGCATGATAAGCTTTATTGTGAGGGTCTCTCCTATACATTGTGGGAGGTTTAACACCTCTGACTTCAACCACTTGATGTCAGCACTTCTGACAAGCAACAATATTTCCAGACATTGCCAAGTGAACCAGGGGATAAAATTGCC